TGGCTACAAACTACAAAGAATGTCATTAGCTTGCTCTTAATCACTTTAGTCAATGGATGTATCACAATACGGTGTATTTTCAGGAATACTTGAAATGAACATTTCAATGCAATGAAAATGTTCAATGGCTAGTCTAATGACATGTGTTTTTGAGTTGGAGTGAGGCCATCCATTAAATTAGGCCAAAGTGTTCAGACCTATAAATGGCTAACTACTTTTCAGCAGGTTTCTGCAGAAGAAAGGCAGTAATTTGCGTTCCCTACAGAGACTAAGTGAGCTGATATCAGCGGGAGGCAGCTAGCATGTGGCCTGGAGAACTGGAAAATTCTCTCCATGGTTACATACCTCCAAACCCACCAATCAGAGATCAATTACCATGTCAGTCCATTGCTTTTACTTTCAAAAGGCCAGCTCAAAAGACATGGCTCTATCTGGAAGTCAGTACTAAATCGGCAAAATAAAGAATAGTTACGTTTCTTAAAATATGGAGGCATCTCAATCTTCTGAACCACTTTATGCATCATGTTAAAGGGATAATTCACCCACCAAAAAATTATGTTCTTTGATTATGTATTCACCCTTAAGTCTTTCCAAACCTGTTTGAGGAACACAAAAGAAGATATTTCAAAAAATGTCTTAGTGTTTTTTCTCTCTCTCTCTCTCTCTCTCTCTATATATATATATATATATATATATAAAAATATCAAAGTCAATGGAGTACAAATAATGTTGTTTTGGACCCCACTGACTTCTACTAAATGGGCAAAACTCTATTCAAAATACCCACTTTTGAGTTTGAGAAAGTAAATGATGACTGAATATTCATTTTCGAGTGAACTCGAGTGGACTTTCATAGACAGGCAGGTCAAAGTGGGCTGTTCCTAGCTGAGACATGATACACAGGATGGCTACAAGTGATTCATTAGCAGGTAGAGGACAAATCAGGTGGTGTACACAGCCCAGAAGGTACAACATGATCAAATTAAACCAATTAATCACCGTTTTAGAGACAGCAAAGGTTCTCTTCCATTATTCATAGCCTCCTGCTTAACCCAATGGGAAAACCACAGCACTTACAGAAGGGGGTGAACAGGAGTGATCGCTATTCGACATAGAACAGATGCTGAGTTTCTATGGACAAATTATCAATAATCAGGATAATGCAGTAGGTGTGGAACAAAAAAGTTGAACATCTAGGTTGTGTACCAGAGACATCAATCTATAGGATCAACTTTAACAATGTGGAAAGAGCAGTGTATTGGATTTTTGGATGATGATTTGAACTATACAACTAGAGATGGTTTATGTCTTGTTCAGGTTCTCACAGACAGCTGTCAAGACCTTCAATCCATACAAAAGCCATGTATCTAAACCCTCACAGCAAGGGTCAAACACTGGGCTCCTCTCAGCAAGCTCTCTCCTGACCTCATTAAAACGATGCCTTCACCACAACCGTCCTCAATCTAAACATTCTTTACAAGCAAGCTCCAAAAAAGCCAAGAGAGGTGTTGGAGAAGCAATAACAACCAGCAAGAGTTCTCTATTCACTGAGACCGCAGAAGGAGAAATCAAGAGTGACCCCGTCTTTCAGGGCTGTGACCTTTCCCAGTGTGAGGCTGAGGGTGAGGGTCCACCTAGTCAAACGCTATATTGAGAAGGACAAATACATCTTCCTACTGCAAACAGCAACTCTCCTGCTGGAATTTTCCATCCTTTCCACACTCATGGATCTCAGTGGCTCCACAAAACCAAACCGCAGGGTTTCAACACGTGTTCCAGGCTAAAAAGCATTTGCAAAATTAACTTTTAGACCTCTAGAACAACCAGATTTTTGAAGTTGAATTTGAATGACAGGAAGAAGTCCATCACAGGCAATGCATTCTGGGAAATGAAGTGTTCTTCCACCACAGTCCACAAAATTAGTTTAAAAAATATGATGAAATGTATAAACTAAATTTCTATATGTGGCACTTAAATTCTATTTACCTGTCCATAAAACCTTCAAACAGCAGGGTTAAACATTTTTCAAACTTAAATTTAGCTTTTCTAGTTAAAATTAGCTTGAATGCTGCACAACCTTGGTATGTATGATATACATTAAGTAAAGCTGTTGTAACTGCAAAAATCTGTGGAAAAGAAATAATGTTTACAGCACACAAAGAAATGTTCTAGTGGTTCAAGCTGTTTTAATGTCAGAAATCTGTGGACAACTCCTAAAAAAAGAGGAATTCAATAATCTCCCTACAAAACTTTATTATAGAATTTTTTCAAGCTGACAGTTTAACTCTCACTTGACTCAAATCTAACAATTCCAAGGCTCCACATTTAATAGGTTCAGTCGAGCATTTTTCCATCCAACCACAAACTGACACACTTCACAACTACATCTACAAGTACACATAGCATCAATCAGCCATAGGCGATCTAGAAGGTGAAAACTCCACAAACTGATAAGCAGCCAAGGGGAGAAACCAAACACTGTTGCCCACTGTCAGTCTCACTTAGACAAGAGCACAGATAGGACAGGATGAATGTGTTTGTCTTTGTGTTGGTTTCCTCTTCTCAACCAGCTGCAGGCAGCAAGAAAATGGCTTTGTGCATCATTCTCTCAAAGCGCCAGACCAAGAGAGTATGAGAGTGAGCGTGGAGATTCACAAATTTACCCTCGAGCCTTGTGAATGAGATCGGGCTGTTGATATCCCACTAGTAGCAGCAACGGGAGGGGGTCAGCTGGATGCGCCAAAATGTCATTCAATCATTCAGCCTGACATCGATGAGGATTAAGCTTGCTTTCAAGACCACAGACCCCCATTGCCTCGCCCAACCACACACACACAGCTAATGAGAGATGGAGATAGCTACAGATGTCTCCATTTGTGCCGTTTACCTGCTGTGCCAAAAGCAATTACGACAGCATGACACTTGTGACGAGCCCCTGCCATTCTCAAAGTGGCATGAGAGATGGCAAACTGGTTTTCATCTGATAAACCTTTTACAGACTTCAATGAATTGCATTGGTGTTGGAACTTAACACAAGAACATTAGAACGTCTGTTGTACTTTGAGAGTTGCTGTACATTGGAAGACTGAAAAATCACTTACCGACATTACGTGCACAGAAATCAATGTTGCAAGTATTGCAACAGTATCATTGATATTTTCATATTTTAAGTATCATTGATATGTGTCCTAAATGGAAATCTATATGTGCATGCATCACATGTATTTCAATGCAATGAAGAGCAGCATTTAGTGTATTCGTAATCGTAATGTAGTTTGATTCAAAGGTTTGCATAGCAATTATTTAGTGCACCGAATCTTTCAAACAAAATGTTATTTGAATCAAGCACATTTTTTATATCAAGGCACCGTTTCAACTGAGCTGTCTCAATAAGTTACTAAGGGCAAGTATATTTAGCTACTGAGAAACAGAAGTGTGAACAAAACAAGTCCGTAAGTGATGATTCTGATAAACCGTTGAGTGTCAAATCTAAACTAAAACCATAAAACCAAACAAGTGAAAGGTTCATTCTGTTAGACAAAACTTTACAAGGATTTTCCATCAAGCCTAAACAGAAAAACTACTTTGCAAATCCCTATAAAGCATTTTGTGAAAAGACTCTGAATATCGTTGAAAGCGGACGTCTGGCTTAAGAAACTGTACCGAGTTAAAAACAAGTTAAATTTTTTAAAACACATCTCAAGACTCCTGTATTCTCTTCCACTTCATCTATCCATTTCTGAATGCAAGAATGTATCCTGTATAACGGCCCTAAAGCTCTTTTTAATCCAAACTGAAATAAACTAGCTTTGTGCCACAAACGCATAGGCTAATTCGGTTTGACTTGACTTTTTTCCACCGAGAAATCTACGAAACTCTATAAAGCATTGTGAATAGTCAGTTTACGAGCAGACTATCTTTAAGAGAGGACTTGTGGCTTGGCTTTAAAATCTGTGCATCTGAAACCTCAGGGAAATGTGTTTCAAATAAACAAAAACTTATTTTCAGAGGGACGCCATGATTAGTAACTCGAAACTGGCCACATGTACAAAGCGCCATTCAAGTCCTATCTAGAATACTTTAAAACACAGAAAAGAGAAAGACTCAACATATGCAATTTAGCTTTAAAAAAGCGATTGATTCTCAAACATCCCTGCAACCATGATTGGAACAATAAATACATCTGATTCCTATTCAAAAGGAGGAAAAAATTATTTTTATCTACTTTTTTCAACATATGTCACCGTCTAAAGAAAATTATGTCGATTTCAGCCAAATAATGAACAAAAACAGCACAAATCTCTCCGGTCAAGACCTGTTTGGTGTGACTAAGGTGTCATTTTACAAATTCACCTCAGAGCAATCTCAGTGGCAGCAGCTGAGGGACCTGATCTTCATTTGAGTCAGCCAGAAAATTCCCTTTCATCATTCCCAACAGTAAATGTTCCCCAATGTCTGAACCTGACCCTGTCATTACCATCAACAATCAATCATTACCCTCAGCTCTTCTTTTAGGTTCAGTCAAGAGTTTCCCCATCCCCTTGTTCTGGAACGGATGGATGGATGGATGAGGGGCAGTGGTGGCTTTCTACAAGTGCTCTTCTTTCCAATGCCTACTTACCAACAAAACCTCCAAATCTGTAATGGCTTATTCTCTCTCAAAAAAAATTTAACACGTAACAAAAATACACATGATAGTCAAAGCAGCCTGGGGTGATTACCTAGTTATCAGTCACTAAATAGCAAGATCATGTATGACCCTTTGCAGAATTTAAACCTTCAAGCTTCTACCAACCCAGATGTAACCACTAAACCACAAAATATAACCACAGTAACTAGGCTGTGCAGGGCAGAATGGTAAACATCAGGGTAAGAATTAGGGTTGGTACAATGAGCTGGTAGAAACAGTTTAATAATTGCTGAACGTTATCGTTGGATTTGGCGATACCGCGCTGCGCTCGTAAACGCGTCCACCGCAACGAACGAGAGACGGAACTTACCTTTATCCGCAACGCCGAACCGGAGAACGATGAGACTTGCGAAAAAAACGAGCAGCCGTGCCCCACGCTCCGCCATCACTTTCTGAGGTAAAAAAATAATAATACACAAAATAATCTCGGGGAAACGCACAAGTTATCCACTGTGTTTTCTGAGGTAAAGTTTTACCGACAAGGTGTTTTATACAAAAACGCTGAACATCGTCCGCAACCGGCAAGATCTCGCGCTCCACCGGTGCCACAAAATAAACATTTAATTCTCCTGTAAGAGTCAAAGGCGAGAAGGCGAAGGGTCCGGGTGTTTTCTTGAACTTAAAACCCCAAAGAGGGCTTTTAAAGGAGGCATTAAGTCAATCCACAGCCGACCCACAAAGGCAGCGGCTGCAAATGGGTTCCGACGCGCTTCAGACCGACCGGCGTGTTTCTGGACGCGCGGAGAAAGACGCGTTCAACAGATTTAACGGAACCGCAGTGGAATATCCAACATAAGCACACGGCGTGTGGTGCTGGAGAGGATTGTAGTGGGCATTGGTCCGTGAAAAAGCAGGCGTGGATTCTCACAGGATTCGGGATTTTTTTTTGGCCCGGGAAAGTCAAAAATCACAGCGTGTGGGTGCGTAATGCGCATGCGCACATCTGGATCCCGGTGTGTTGAGATGATTACTAATTTAGGAATCACATTACTTTTGAACCACCGCATCTTAGTACATACTAATATATATATATATATATATATATATACACACACACAAGCATAATTTCTGAAGCTACTGTGTTTTTGAGTAGCTAAATAAATTACTGCCACAGGATACAAGTTTTTCTACTTGATAAGTCAGTTGCAATGCTTATTTTAATCTTTAACTTTGAAATATGATTGTATGCAAATTATGATGTAGAACAAAACGTGAAAGTCTCTTCAAGTATTGTCCCAGACCTGATTTTACTCATAAATCAAAAGCCGCTATCAAAACCAAAAACCAATGGAAATTCCCGCGGGAAGCCATGGCGAATTAGGTTGCGAATTGACTATAGAGCTCTATTTTGATTAGTTAAAAGGAGAAAACAAAGCAAAAACCTAAAAGTGCTTGGCAAGAGGCTGGTGGAAATGGATGTTGTGTATATGATTAGCTACTCATAGTGCCATCCACTGGTTTACATGCAGAACAGCACCTGAGGGCAAGCTAATGTAATCAACCATGACCAGTTTTTCATGTTAGACAGGCAGCAATAAAACAAAGTGTGCAGTAATGTCTTTAGATGTGTCCTCATTTTTGCTCACTCGTATAGTAAAATATGACATTGACCATGTAGTGAATAGTCAGTGAGAACGAGCGACACAGTTCCAGACCATCATATTTGGAGATTGTCTAATTGACTTCACCATCAATTTTCTGTATTTATGTATAATAATTACATATAATGGTTGAAATGTGTCAATGTTCAATACAAAACTACATCCTTGGTATACTGCAGAGAGGTCACGTAATACATGTGATTACTGTAGGAGCTCAGGTGCCCTTGGGTCTTGAAATTCAGCGTTTAATCCAAGGGCACGGCGCACTTGCTTGTCTTCCCTGTGGGTGAACGGCTCATAAAGAATGTGTATGCTCGCTAGGAACAAAGGGATACCTCTGTATGAGTCACACACGCTGAATATGCTTGAAGTGCAAAAAAGATGTCAGTCGTAATGAAGATAAAGTTTCTTTTGAATTCTGAACGACTACTGTACAACAAACTGACCAAAGCTGAGCTGGCCGTGGGTCATTTATCAAACTTCTTTGTGTTTTTGAAGAGGAAACAGAAGCTGTTCTTTCTCATCTTTTGAGGGCCGTATGTGGTGTAGATCTCCAGCGAGCCCTGACGATGCCAATTATTCAGCACTCTTTAGAAGTACGAGTGCTCACTTCACTCAGAATGGAGCCAGAATACGGCAGGGGGTTTTTTTGTTATTAGAATTCATTTGGCAATTTTGAATAATGACTGTAAAAAGACGGTTGCTACTTGAAAGTGGACTGAGGGGCAAGATAAACATGTGGAAACACTTTTACATGGTTTAAGGTTGTTTGCTTCAAGTGGAGATGGGTTTATAATGGTTTAGGCAAAATTCAGGACTGAAGAGTTGGAACCCTTCAATTCATGCATGTGAACTGGAATGCACTTGATTCAGATGTTGTGAATTGGAATGACAGGAAGAGCAATTTCTTGCACCACAATTTATAACTATAAACTACAAAATTAAAGTAATAGTTCACCCGAAAATGAAAAATTGCTGAAAATGTACTCACTCTCAGGCCATCCGAGATGTAGATGAGTTTGTTTCTTCATCAGATTTGCAGAAATGTAGAATTACATCACTTGCTCACCAATGGATCCTCTGCAGTGAATGGGTGCCGTCGCTTTTGGCCAAAAGACGAATCCATAATAACGCTTCCTCCAGTGAAAAAGTCTATCCCCTGTTGTCCGGACTGTTTTCGCTTGTAAATGTTGCTTGATCTGTGCATATTTCTCTCCTGATTCAGACAAGATGACTTTTTCACATGAAGAAAGCAATATTATGGGTAGAGGACTTTAAATTGAAATTAAAAGCATCTTAATGAAGGAGTGGTTTCATACAAACACACATCTTTTGGCTTCACAAAATGTTAATTGATGGACTGGAGTGGTGTGGATAACTTCTGGATTACTGTGTTTTTTTATCAGCTGTTTGGACTCTCATTCTGACGGCACCCATTGACTCCAATGGTGAGCAAGTGATTTAATGCTTAATTTCTCCAAATCTGTTCTGATGAAGAAACAAACTCATCTACATCTTGGATGGCCTGAGGATGAGTACATTTTTAGCAGTTTTTTATTTTTAGATGAACTAAAAGGTCAATGAAGAAACTTGTGCCAACCTTCCTGAGACTGACAGAGAAAGGTATATCTATGTCACCGCTGATTCTGAGGAATTCTTGAATCTCTTTAAAGCCCTTAAAATGACACTGAACAGCTTTCAATTTGCAGACTAGGAAGAAGAAACAGCTTGCCACTGCAGTGTATAAATGGCTCCAGAAATCTGACAGATGGAGAACTGACATTGAGAACGAGTTTATTTGCTGTCAGAGCTGAAAGCAGGATGAGATGTCATTTGACGACAGACTCTGCACAGGATGGTGTTCACATTAAGTGAACCAAAGCGGCACTAGAAGATGAAGGCAATATTTGGGATGGAATGTTAATGTATTGCTGCACAGTATGTACTGCATAATATTTATTAATGTAGTATGCACTATGCTTACTAACGCTATTACTTAAAAAAAAAAATTTATCCAATGAAAATATCTTAACTTTTAGTGGTTAATGCATTGCTTTGTAGGTATACAGTATTACATGCATGTTTTGCATATGCATTTTGCATATCTGAATACAAACTGTAAAACTATGAGAATGCCATTTCAAACCCTCGTTCTTCGTCCTCCTGCCCTCTCTCTCTCTCTCCTCTCACGGCCAAACTCCTGGGATTATCTAGGATTACTGCACTGTAAGAAAACATCACCAAATTTAATGTGATCAGGGTAAGACCGGCAAAACCTATTACTTGGAGACAGATCATGCTGTTTGAGTTAAGATCTCTCACACATATGTGTCCAGTTCTTAGAACCGATCTAAAAGTTCACTGTTTATGTGTATTTTCTCACTAAGCGTTTTTATATTCGACACTCAGCTTCAATCAGTCATTAAACGTGTAATGAGAGGTACAGGGAGGGGGCGTCTGTCTTTTCTGTATTAAGTTAGGGACTAAATTAAATAACGTGAAGGAGCTGATTAAATTTGCAATGTCTGCTGTCTCCTGTCATTAATTATACAGGGTGTGAATTTGGCACGGTGCAGTCAGCTCTGATGTGGTCGCAGCAGTTCACCCATCACCGAGACAGCACGCCCTCCGCCCTCCGGTCATGTCCCTGGAAAACTCAGCCGAGGGGGCAGAGAAACAGAGGCGGGACACTGGGGCTGTCAATCAAATTGACCCAGAGGATGCACAGACACGATCACCTCGCTGCATGTAGGACAGTTGTCACCCAAAGTGATTGGATTGTTTCCCAAATGTTCTCATTCTAAAAAGGTTTAAATGTGTTGTAACAAATCTATGTTGTTCAGCGCAGACACGTTTATGCAAAGCAACTTGTGATGCACTGCAGCAAACTGGGGTTATAGGGTTCACCCAAAAAATATAAATCATGTCAACCCATATGACTTTCATTAATTCAATTTGTGTCACATTTACACTACCGAGGATAAGATTTTGTAAAAAAAAAAAAATGATTTAAAAGAAGTAAATTCTGCTCAGCAAGGCTGCATTTATATGATCAAAAATGTGACCCTGGCTGTGAAAACCCAGCTAAAGCCATTTTTTTGTGATACATAATACATGATACATAAAATAATCCTTCATAAGGTAAAGAACATTGTGTAAACATGTAACCTTCATTTCTTTAATATTGACTAAGTAAGGCCATGTCAAAGATTGAAATCACAGTGAAATTAATGAAATAACATTTTAATGCTTGTTATCTCATCATTAGATTCTGAGACTTTAGCCTGGATTTCACAGACAGGGTCACAAATACACTAAAAACAGTTATATTGTGAAATATTTTTTAACATTTAAAACAGTTGTTTTCTATTTGAATATATTTAAAAATGTAATTTATTCCTGTGATGTAATTTTCAACATAATTGCTCCAGTCTTCAGTGTCACATGATCCTTCAGAAATCATTCTAATATGCTGATTTGCAAGAATCATTCTGATTATTATAAATGATGAAAACAGTTGTGCTGCTTCATATTTTTGTGGAAATCATGATTTCAGAATTCTTTGATGAATAGTAAGTAATTTTAATCAAATTAATGCTGACTAAAGTATTAATTTCTTTAAAAAAATAAAATAAAAATCTTACTGACCTCAAACTTGTAATCGCTTCAAATATGTGATGAATGCCATTGGTTCCTGCATGTCCCCGTGTGAAACAAAAACATTAAAGCAAACAAATAAGCTACATGAGTCATATTAAACCAGTGAGTATTGTCATGTAAGTCTTGGTGACACCAAAAAGTATATCTGGCTGACATGTATCTGCACTTCTACTGGTTGCAGGTAATCCACTAAGAATGTTCATCTTTTTCAAGCTGGTTTGAGGGCTGTAACGCAGAAATGATTTCAAAGACAGGAAGTTGTTGTATTGAGGTCAAACCAACTTAAAAGACAGTAACATCCCGCTCTCTCAAGCCACAGAGGACGCAGCGGGGACGAACTGCAGAATGGTAAGAAAAAACAGGCCTAAATCTTCACACAAAAACAGCAACTTCAGAGGGGGACAAGCACAGAAAACCCACAATCCTCCACAACCAGCGATGCAGCCCTGCTTTCACATAAAAAAAGGCTCACTCGCTACCCTCCTATCAGCTACAACAAGATGCTGTGAAGTCAGGGATGAGCTGGGTTCACGCTGCGCTCCTGCACTTCTCCAAGCGCTCTGAACTCCCCCTTA